GTCCACACTCTGGTCCACACTCTGATTCACACTTTGGTTTTGCTGGTTTGAATTTGAGGTGAAGCTCAAGTTACCTTCGGTTTGCTGTGTAACCGCGGCGACAGCTGGTCTAGACGCTGTCTGATGATGTCAGCAATCACGTTAGCATCCCGGCTGTTGATGTGTTCACCGCTGTGTTCATGCTGGTAACACATGCATACAATTATACATCTTTTAGATCATGAACCATGTTCCATCCAGCCCACTGACTCTTTCACACCATTTCAAAGTTAGAATCTTTTCATAGCTCATTTTGATATTAGTTATGGTCAGCTGTAATGTACTCTCAGTCAGTAATTACCAATCTATATAGTAGTTCTCATTTTTAGTGGCAGAGCCTGCCATTCCTGCACCCAATTTCAATTTCTGTAACATCACTTAAAGCACATGCCTTAAGATAAATACTGTATTGCAATAGCATCTCCCAGCATCATAACTAGAAGGACCACAAGTCTAACCTCACTGGAAGTCAATATCCCTTCTGCTTCTTATATATATGAGAACATTAATATAGCAGAAACTGTGTTGCTATTGCAGCCTCTCTGCAGTCTGGCCGCACAGGCATGTTATTGCATGTGAGTATTAAAAAGTTTCTTCATGTCCTGGTCCATCTCATGTTCTGGTAAGATGACTAAAGGCTGAAGTCTGGACTGGTTATTTCTATCAAAGTTCTGCTTTTGCGTGTGTGTCCTCACCCTCCTTGTCCCAAGGTACGGGTAGAATCTGACCGTCGGGTAGGCAGTGATTCCGGCTGATTGACAGGTCTGATGATGAGCCTGACAGTCCACTTTCCCTGCCCGAACCTCACCTTTAAGAATCTGTCAATCACACAGAGGACATCCTTTTGAGAGCCTTGACTACATTTTAAGAATAGGTTTGTGTTTCATGTCAAGAGTCGGCTTTAGTTTGTCTGCTGCCTCTATTGGGCTGTGACTGACAGGAAACACAGAACGAAAGATTTATTTAGGAAAAGAAAAAAGTGTCTCACCCGAGCCAGGACCTCAAACTCTGGGGCGAAGTGCTGACAGGGTCCACACCAAGGGGCGTAAAAATCTAGAACCCAGTGATCCTGACCTGACAAAACTTGAGACCTAAAGGACTCTGGGGTCAGGTCCACCGAGGCTCTGGGTAAAGAGCTGTATCAGACAAGACACTGACTCAATAATTGATTCTTTTGGCACCAGAAAAACTGAGAAAATAAATAAAGACAGACAGACAGTTTGTGTCTCACCTCAGTGCCCATGCTCTCAGTGAATGGGCATCTCTGTGCCAACCATTATAACTCCTGAAGAGACAGACACACAGATCAACAGGATCAATAAGTTAACTCGAGAGGAACAACTCTTAAACCCACTCCCTTTCAAAAAGGCCTTGGGCCAGATTCATAAAACTCAACTAAAAACTGACAGAAATATGTATACTTTATTTTCTTCAGATTTATAAAGTCGCACATGCGCCTGATTCTGTTCTGGTTTTTTTGAGGGCTAGTTTGGACCTGTTGACTAATCTGGAACCAGTTCTTTGCATTTCAACAACCAAAGAACCTGCTCTTTACCAGGAAAACTGGTTCCAGCTGTTCTAACACTTTGCTGGGTAGAACCAAGAACGGCTCACAGCAGGGGCTGGGGGCTTCTTGTAGCCAGCTAACTAGCTAGCTAGCTAGCTGTATTTATTAGCTGTTAGCACATGTTATGAATGTAACATTGAGCTAGCTGGCTAGCTAGCACGCTGTTGGTCAGCTAACATTGCCCAAGCTAGCATAGCTACTCATTTACCACATCAATGTTTTGTTTGTAACTTAAATGTTATGTTTGACATTAGTAACATTACTGTGATTGATGCTAGCATGTTACCATAACCAATAGCCAACATTGGAGAGGTATATAGTGACGTGGCCCTATGGTGCCTCTCCAGCCCGCAGAAAAGCAAAAAACGGTAAAAATCAAATGTAAATTAAAAGACAGATAAAGTTCATCACACACAAATCATTTTAATTTAGTTTATAAATGTGGTTATGTTTCTCATCGCCTGATTAATGTCCAATATTCACTTTTTTTTAGCTCTATTTTTGATCACTACTAACTGCTGCTAATCTGTCAGCTGCCTGCCGCAGGCAAAAAACAACGCTATGAGAGCATTAAGAGTGTACCAAAACAATGAGCTAAAAGATGCTACAACGCTCTATATAGCTGAGGGGAGCTGCATGGGTGATAATTCTCTGTAGGTTCATCCCTTTCTCACACACAAAATAAGAACATAAAATTATGAATTATAGCCACCTGAAAGGAAAACTCACTTAAACAGAATGGGTAATTTAAAGTGTGGTACATACGTGTAGCGTTCTGGCTGCCGGGCATTGCCGGAGTACAGGCGGATTTCAGGGTATGCCCTCACATTCTGACTCTGACAGAAGGACTGAAACCGCTGACAGTCAACAGAACCAACGAGGATCTGACCTGACAGCAGCTGGATGGTGAGAGACAGGAAGAAAGTGACATGCAGGTTAGACTGTGCGTGATGTTGATCACTTGCAGTGGTAACTAACTGAACCTTCTGTAAATGAGTGAACACTGCTGATACCATGTGTTGGCTCCTCTTTGTAGTGAAATAAATTCATAGAAGGGTTGTTTGGTTTATCTAATGTGCAAATCACAATGTATATATGTTGGTCTATTTATGCATGTATATTTTATTTTTGTGTCACTAACCCTAACCCATACGTCAACAATAAATGTCAGAAATGTCAAAGATATATTGAGATAATCCAGAAAAATATTTTTGCCCACCAGAATTTTTTTGAAGGTTTATGGTCCTGACCATGAAAGGCAACATTTATGGCCAAGGTTTGTTCAAGTCTGATAGGGGACTTTTATCAAGTTAAGTTATCCTTTATTGATCCCGCGAGGATACTGGTCTCTGCATTAACCCATCCTCAGTGTTAGGGGCAGCAGAGGTGTGGACCAACACCAGTTCTAAGCCAGTACCTTGGTCAAGGGCCCTGTATTATTAACCTACATACTTTTCCCATGGTGGGGGAAACCAGAGCACCCAGAGGAAACCGATGCAGACATGGGGAGAACGTGCAAACTCCACACAGAAAGGCCTGCTGGGATTCAAACCGAGGACCGTGAGGTGACAGTGCTAACTACTCACACCCACACCCTTTTGTGGAATGTCATTCCTAATCTCGCTCCCCTCATTTCCTGTCAACTCTCTACTGTTGGAAGAAATTACATAAAATGCCAAAAAAAAGGTTTGTTTTTGTTATGTCTTCATAAAAAGTAAATTTCTGTTATGATCAGATGATTTCTGTAACCTAGTTCTGTAATCAGGGTAACAGCAGGTAGCTAATGCTAACTAGCGAGCTGCCTGCAGATAACAGGCTGGTAACAAAACTGATAGCCGAAACTGATCATTTAACTGGATGTCTGCACTATGTTTAGTTGAAACATTTGGCAATGACAGTTCATAGCTTTACTGGATAACCTCGATTATTAAATAGGTGGTGCAGGTGTTGAATTATTTATTTAATTTAAGTCCTAAAAATATTATATTTCACTCCTTTTAGTCTTCCTGCAATTGTGAATTGTCCCTAAGCTTGGGAGGGAAGGAATAAGTGTGTTGTACCCTGGCCATGCGTCTCCACTCTGGCATCAGAGCCTGACAGGGACCACACCATGGAGCATAGAAATCCACCGCCCAGATCTGAATGTCTGCTCGACCTGCAACCAACACAACAGAAGGAAAAGAGAATCTGTTAACTAACAATTAACGGCACTACTGTTGGTCTATTGAGTCCATAGCTCCGGTCTTAGTTTTGCTCCTATATATATCAGCAAAACCAAACACTGGCTCTAGATAGAGCCCTTTGTGTTTTTCATGGGTTTCACAGTCATAGCAGTTCTCCTACCCACTTGGAAGGCGAGTGGTATTGTTAGTTGCAATCTGCAACTTCCCTGCTAGGTGCCTTCACACTGTATCTTTAAAGGGGAACTTGGCAACTTTTTCAGCTTAATAAACCCGTTTAGAAATCATTTGGATGGTTAAATGGCCTGTTCCGGTGAAAATGGGGATCCC